ATGTTGAAACTCAGGATATATAATGTTGTATTTATAATTCTCCATCTTTGATAATAAGTGAGATATTCGCCATTGTCGTTTTTGCAAAATTTTCAGTTTTTGCCGATAGGGCGAAAACAAAAGACGATAGCTGTTCGGAGTTTTCGGCATTAGCATTTTCTCGAAAAACGAGATCATGACATGTAAGCTACTTTTTTTCTATCTCTTTTAGTTTCGGAGATAGCCTATGCGGACATCGAAATTGGGACACCCTGTACATACAAAAACGTTAATGTGTATGCAGAAGAACGTCACATGTTTGAGTGCACACTCAAAAAGAACGACGCACAATATTTCTGTCGGCTGTCGGGATTCGCTCTCAAGTTTCAACGTGTGGATGTAAATTGTGCGACGTTCATCAGTAGCGTCCAGTGTCAAGATAAGTTTCATGTTTATGAAATTTGATTCGCAAATATCTTGTTTTGTAGAATGTCTGATTGTAGAACACTATCTCGTGATTTCCTGCGTGAATTCCTTGAAATGTACAGGGAACTGCCCTGTCTGTGGCATGTAAAAACCAAAGCATATTTGGATAAAAATAAAAAAAAAACGACGTCTACTACGTCGCTGGTCAAGAAGCTACAGGTTGTTCAGCCAAACGCGACCAAAGCTGCTGTCATTACTATAAAATAAGCAGGCTTCGAGAAGGGTTTCGTATATAGGGGACATAAGAAGGTTCTAGACTCCAAAAGAAGTGGTGCGGGTGCCGATGAAGTTTATGTACCTTCACTGTGGTACTATGACCTTCTTCTGTTTCTTCGAGACCAGGACAAACCTAGAAAGTCGGTTTCGAACATCCCTAGTGATGACGAGGACAACAATGTGGTAGCAGACCAAAGTAATGAACCGCAAGAGGAAGGTGATAGTGTTGCTGAGACTGCGAGAGAGGTAAGAAAAAAAATGAAAAGTAGTCGTTGTTTACTTTATTAATGAACCGTTAATTGTTGAAAATAATTATTTAATGACATGATACAGCTCCTTCTTCATTAAAATACTGCATAAATAATTGTCGCACTTGCTCTGCTTCACTACCAAAGTTTCCACCATGGCTACGTTGCAGGTGAGCAAGGTGACTTTGATTAGCTCTCAGACCTGATTGCAA